AAAAACAATATATTACGGTTTCTTAAGAGTTAGTAACGCGCGTCCATAGGCTATGGTAACCCCGTTTACCATCAAATATATATATTATAAAATCCTATCTTATTTATATTATACATGTGAAACTTTGTTTTTACTCAATCATAGTTATATAGTTGAGCAGATTGGGATAAAATTTTAAACCAAAACGTGTACTGAATGTAAGTGTTAAGTTAGTATAATATATATTGTAACTAAATGCTTACGATAATTATATACAGACTTATGTGAGTAAAGCTGTGGGATACGGCTAGTATGAATATGAATTTTTTTTAGTTAAATATTTAAAATAATAATTTTTTTATATAAAAGTAGTAGATGTTGTAAGAATATTGTCTATTTTAAAATATAAAAATTGTTTAAGTACACTTTCATAACATAAGTTCACTTTCTTAAAATAATTTAAATTTGTGATTTAATTTCCTTTATATCTATTGACGCGTATTATTACAAATGGTATGAACATGATCAGGTATTTTTTTTATATATAGGATCAGGTATTGTTAGTAATGCGGACTATAATTATTAACTATTAACTGGGCTATACATAATGTACCGAACATTTAATACGTTGGCGTATTTCAGATTAAATTCCTAGGGAGCCTGGCCTTTTAAAAAATGTACATACGACTATGTCTTTTCAGACATGTCTCTGTGAAGCTTCGTTTGCACGGATAAAATACACCTACGAGCATCGTAAGCTGCAAGTACTACGTTAATTTAAAAATTGCAGGTACATTAATTAAACCAGGTACTTTATGAAGACATACTTGTCAAGTAGGTACTGCGCAGGTGCTAGATTAGGCAACATTTAGTCCTTGTGCCCTGAATTAGGGTGAACGTACGACCGGTCTGAGATACAGAGACATACTCCGAATGTACTCCGTACTATTGAAATTGAAAGTTGCTGTACATTCCTATATATTTTGTTTACCTACACATTATGATACTTTGTGGTATCGTGTTTCGCAGTCCAAGGTTGTATTGGCGATTCCTGAATTGGTTAGCAAATATGCTGTGTAACTCTTATAAATGTTAAATATATAAAAAAAAAACAAGAAATTCTTACTAATAATATAAATGAGATAATTTTTTGTTACCTTTTGGTAGCTTAACAGTTCAAACAAATCAATTAGTCAATCATAACCTATAGTGTCGAATTGCTAGGCAAAGACCTTCCGTTATAGTTCAACCAATCGTTATGAAATATGGTAATGTATTATTTATGATAGACAAGGGTATTGACATTTTAATCCGGTTAACAATATATCCCGGTCACGCGGCCGAAGTCCAAAGTAAAAGCTAGTACCAAATGAAATAAATGCCGCTGGATACACAGCGTTATTTAGTCATTAACTAAGCAGAGTTTGTACTAAATAATTGTAATAAATAATAACCACCAAATTGTTTATCCTCTCCATCCAAAGGTTGCCTGGTAGAGATCGCTCTTAGCGATAATGTCGCCCATTGTTTTCTCATTGTGATTATTTCTTGTAATTATTTATATTTATAATAAGTTTACTATTGTAATCTTTTGGAGGAAACAATAAAGAGTATCTATCTATCTATCTGTCTAAATAGAAACATACTTTTTTTTTTAAATATAAGTATTTATACTATATATTATAAATATAAGTACTTATATCACATTGAAGAAAATAATAAATACTATAAAATGTCGTGTGATTAAAAAAGTTTAAAGATCTTCTATACTCTATCGGAGCCAGAGCTATCTTCCCAATATTTTTTTATTAATAAAATGATTATTATTAAAAATAAAATTTGGTAATTGAAAAAAAAAATATAATAAATACTCGTACCGAACTGAATAATTACCAAAAGTTTACATTAATAAATATTAGAAATAATCTCTTGAAAATTGTTACGACGGATTTGGGCTTAGTACAAAGAACATAGAACAAAAAGCTAACACATAAAAGCCAAACTACAGAATCAGGTAGGTTTGTACTAAAATAATGCAAGAACAATGTTCAATTGTTCCATTATGCAGTTGTGCAATAGAAAACTGTTCGTAGCATACTTTTAACACATTTACACGAGGTGGTGTTCGCTTTTATGTAAATTTTTGTACTTTACTGGGAAAAGTTTTTCTTCTGCAAAAAAAGAACAATTTTAAGAGTTTTTCCTTTGTTTTTGCTATATATTTTAATTTTCAATTCAACATTCTGCTAATTCTAAAATACATGAGTGTCGTATATTTTTAGAATGTTGAATTGAAAGCTTTAATTAGTCTATTATATACCAGAGGGAGACTTTGTACAAAAGTCGATTGTTTGGGTACCTCTGTCCCATTCGTGTTTCAACCGTGAAACAGTTGTGTTTGTATAGCTGTGTTTCGGTTTGAAGGGTGGGATATGGCGTGAAGTTACTGGGTACAGAGGAATAACACCTGAGACCTCAGGAATGCCAACGCATGGGGGGTATCATGGGCGAAATAGTATACTTTGTTATGTCCATGGTACTGCTCATGTCTATAGGCGACGGTTATCACTTTCCATCAGGTGGGCCGGCAGCTTGTTTGCCATTCTAAGTTGTATAAAAAAAAATTATATCAAATCAATAATTAAAGCATCATCAAAAAGGAAGAATTACTAAATTTTCTTTATTTATGTCACACGATATTTTCACTAAAGTGCCTATAGTTTAATATTGCTTTTCTCGCGATACAGTAACTGTTTTATGCAGTATAAAAATTATAATTATCTACTGCAAAAAATTAAAATTTTAACTTAATAAAAAGAACTTCAACTTAGAATGGCAAACAAGCTGCCGGCCCACCTGATGGAAAGTGATAACCGTCGCCTATAGACATAAGCAGTACCATGGACATAATAGAGTATACTGTTTCGCCCATGATACCCCCCATGCGTTGCCATTCCTGAGAAATCAGATGTTATTCCTCTGTACCAAGTAAATTCACGCCATATCCCACCCTTCAAACCGAAACACAGCCATGCAAACACAACTGCTTCACGGTTGAAACACGAATGGGACAGAGGTACCCAACCAATTGACTTTTGTACAAAGTCTCCCTCTGGTAAAATTATAATTGAAGACCTTAGTTTAATATCCATAACCGTCTAGCGAAATAAATTTTAATGGATTATTAATAGTAATCCTACTATAAAGGCCCATTCATATCTTTTAAGTAAGAGAACCCTAAAATCAAGTATCACTCGCAAATCTACGTCAATATTGAAGTGTTTTCTTTTGACATTGCAGAAACTGTTATTTTAAAGACCATATAATTACTTTTATAAATAAAAGTAATTATAGTCTTTGTCTACAATTTACATAAATGTAAATTGTACAAACTGCGCTATTTAATAAATTCTATATGTAAACATTTGATCAAGTCTATTTTGCACTGGGTATTTTTTTTTAATAGATGATAATGGAATGTTTGCCCTGCCTGTGCTAACGGTATACGCTTGGGGGAAAGGGATTGTTAGTAATGAGGTCTAATAGTCCCGTTGCTAGCAATTGACCCTCTCAGTTCGACCTACACGCGGTTCCTCCTGGAAACCATCATGTTTAATTCTTGTCGAATTCATCATGGTGGGCCAACTGACCTGCATTCATTCTCACCTATCATCTGTCACTGGTGCCTCGTCGGTGTATACCGATAGCGCGGGCGGGGTCACCATTCTATTTTCATCTATTAAAAAAAAACGATATACGCTGGCCCCCGCCAGCGTATACCGTTTTTTTTTTGACATTAATGAGGATGATAGGTGAGAACGAAAAGACAGGTCAGTTAGCCCATCGTAATGTATATACCTGGAATTCAGTACCATAGTTTCCAGGTTTTACTAACAATTCCTTTCCCCCGCCCTAGGATATTACGTTAAGGAAAACAATGCATAATGCCAACAGAAATTTTAACATATTATCTATAAAATGTTGTGTAAGTAACTTGTCAATGACACACATTTGACATGAACGGGGTCGATAAATATTTTCGTTATGCTCCTGTAATTGCTCCGGCGTCAGTATTGCGTATTACATCGTTTAAAGAAGATTATTTAATTCATTAACGTCGGAATTCAGATTTCACGATTCAGCACATTCCATATTACGGTAATAAAGTACAGCAATAAATTGCAATAATGGACACTATCATGCCTGTTTTTAAGAGACTTTCAAAATGTTACTCCTTTTGTCCTCAATTCGTCTGTATTATTTATGTGTGTTACGTGATATCTTCGCTAATTTTGAATCGATTTTGATTATTAATTTTGCAATCCATAGAGTGTGTTGTTTTTTTTTTCTTATATTTTGCTTTATCAGCCGTTAACTGTCCACTGCTGAACATAGCCTCCTCCATAATAGGGGGTTTGCCAGTAGTTGCCTCGTTTGACATGCAGGTTGGCAACCGCAGTTTAACTTTTGGTTATGCTTTAAGAGACACGTTGCTACCCATCCCTCCATTATAAGTTTCCTTAGTCGCCTCTTACGACACCCACGGAAAAGGAAAGAGTGTCCCATTCTATACCATTAACAAACATTTTCTTTCTCTTGCACTATTGTACTTTATTTCCTTAGTTGCTTATATAATAGCTATATGTGTATCCTGATGCTATTAAGAGACTACGGACTAAACCGTCTTTCAAAAAAAAAAAACGTTCACGCTCACTTTTTTACTTTCTTCGAGCAGTAAGTGCTTTATATTATTCTCAATTTCGTGTATAATATAGTATATGTCATATATGTGTAAGTATATTTGTTATTTATATATATTTATTCGTTTATATATGTAATTTTAGTATCTATGTATATCAATAATTACTAGTACCGCATTCGAGTATTCTGACACTTCCCTATGGTTGACTGGGAGAGAATGCTTTTAGCATTAAGTCCACCATGTACACATATTTGTACTAATGAATAAATAAATAAATATAACATTGACACACAATTACTGTCTTTATAAAAATATCACTATGACTTCTGTACATAGTCTCCTAATGCTTTCAGGTTTAATGCTCACCATGTGTATGATTAACATCTATTTGACAACAACACAATCCAAAATTAACTTTATTAATGATTCTAAGATCACTGATAATTACTGGCAAAATTCCTCCAATGGTCCAGAAAGTGCTATAAAGGATGCTTTCATTCCTAATGTCAATCTATGTGGGAGACCTATAATCAGAAGTGGACAGATGACGGCTAAAATGATGATGATGGTTATAAATGTGTTTGTAATCTCTGGGTATCAAATTCAGTACTTCTCCATTGTAAATATTGTGTTTGGAATGGAGAAGGACTGAATTTGTAAAGAAGGATATAGGTTAATAGTTACAATCAACATATCCCGGTCAAGCGAACGTAGTCGCGGGTAAAGTTAGAAATGAACCCCGATGATTCTATATTCTCCTTGTGACGACTTTAGATTTCACTGAATGAAAACTAGGTACTTAATTTCAATGAGAGTACATCGCACTTGAAACGGAAATCACAAAAATATCAAATAAAAAGTACATATCGATCTTTACTAATATTATAAATGTCAATCAATGACTTAATATGAAGTTTCGCATACGTACAGGAACTATACAAGCTCAAGTTGCAAGTAATATTTTTTTTTTATGAGCTTAATAGCGGCCCGTATGTTACATATGTATATAAATTCTGATTGTGGTTCTAATATTGATTTACAGGGTATACCCGAGCTGGACGTTCCGGGTATAGAGCCACTAAGTCTGGGACAGATAGCGCTGGCGAGGGGTCCTCAAGGTGCCAAGTTGACAGCAGTAGTCAATGACGTCAAAGTCCGCGGGCCTAGTAACTTCATAATTCAGGAACTTAAGTAAGTTTATATAGATTATAATTTATATAGATAATTAAATAGAAGATGATATAATGTAGACGAGATTAGATATAGATACGTGTGCAGGAATAGAGGAAGTATGCAGGTACTGGGGCAGGCGTCGACTAAATTCAAATGATCAGATATGTGCATTAAGAAACAATGAAAACTGTTAAAATTTTGGTAAATTACGTATAAAATATAATAAAAAAATAGATATATAATTACAAAATACAATAAAAGTTAGCTAGCCACGTTGTCTGGAACACCATTTATAGTTAGAAGATGGAAATAAGAGTCTAAGGATCTAAAGAATATGTATGAAAGGAGCTATGAAAGTGGATGAAGCTAGAGGCGTTTGGTACTCTAGTGATGAATTTTGCGTGAAGATAGTTAATTTAAACCTTTAAATTTAATCTACTCACTATCTTGAGAGCGTATCGACTGAGTCCCACTTATATAGAACCACAATTTCCAATATATCTAAAAAAAGTGAATGTGTTGAATTCAAGTTTTGTTTTATAAACAAATCAAGAAAACTTTATAATTAACTTAAGAGAGTTCTTGAGATCGTTTTATTAATATGATACATAAAGCATACATAAAGTCACCTTTAGTTCGTATGTCTTTTAATATTAATTCTTTACAATTTTCAGATCGGATTTGGACAAGAACCGGTTCGACTTCAAATTGCTATTACCGCAGCTAGACTTTGCTGGAAAATACAAGATGGACATACAAGTTTTATTACTGCGGTTGCAGGGTAGAGGGAATATTACCGGATCCTTCAGTTAGTATTACTAAAAGTGTTTTATTAATTATGCACCAAAAAGGTCGAAGTCGTTAATTAAAAAAACTTCAGTAGTAAAAAATATCTTAATAATATTATAAATGCGAAAGTTAAGAATGTTGAAATGTAAGAATAGATGCATGGGTGAATAGGTGGATGGAGGTTACTTTATTATGTAAAAAGTACTGAACAGATTTGAATGAAATTTGGTACACGAATGGATTATACCGTAACTCAGTGTGTATAATGCTTTATATGCTAATATACGCGAATGCAGCCAAAAATACAAACCGTGAGATACAGCTAGTCGATAATAAACAAAACTAACGTGGATTATAGTGCTTGACTCGCCCTCTGACAGGTTGCATTCTAATATGCTCAGCAAAATATGAACGCGTCGAGTATTATGTTCAATGGTAACAATTGATAAAAGTTTATGATTACCCCATTAGAGATTATAGTCGTGAGCATATTGTATTTTTTTATGATTTTTATTAAAACAATCTATACACACTTCACTGTTATTTGTATAAGGAATTTCGAAGTTACACAGCGATAGACTATTCCATTCTAAAATGGATCGGATTATGTTCGGAGTTTCGTTAAAAACTAGAAACTTGAATGAGGATATCGAAAAAAGAACCAAAGCCTTTTAGTCTTACGTATATCTGTTTCTTCATCCACGTTTATATCTCCTCTCAAGCCTGCATGCATACTGGTTTCGGAGATATTTAAAGTTTGTCTCATCAGTTACTTGTAGCCCACTAGTGGAGCTGACGGTTTGAGATAGGAGGAAGTGCGTGTGTGTCGGTCAGTGCATGTTGTTGAAAGGTGGATTAGGAGGAACTAGGAAGAGTTTTCCATACCGGAATACTAGGTCTGGTACAATGTTTTGGAGGATTACTGTAGAGTGTTAGCCGGTACGAATCCGGTAATATTCATGTTTATTCAATATTTTCTCGTATTATCACGTTTAATTTTTTTTTACTTTACTATGTCAATGTTTGTAAAAATGTTTTAATGATTCTTACTAAATGACGCTTAAAAAAGTAGAGGACTTGAATGCAATTTGGCATACAGATGGATCAAAGATTAACACATAGTTTGCTTTTTAATCAAGCAAAGCAATAAAAACTAGTATAAAGTAATATTATAAAGAGACAAGTTTGATATTTTTTTTTGTAATCTATTAGTCAACCGATTTTAAAAATTCTTTCCTCTATGGTAAACTACATTGTCAGCGAGTAACAGGGGTTGTATTTTATGCAAAAAAAAACCGTGCGAAATCGGGGCGGGTCGCTAGTAAATAATAAAAATGCTAACAAACTGACGTTTCTTCGAAGCCAGCCTGAGTGGGGCAGTGCGTACTTCTGCATTCCGTAGTTGCGTCGAGTGTGGCATCATTGACTGTCGACATTGCGGTCAAATACATTGGCGCAAGTTACTAATAAAATGAGTGTTATGTAAGTTGTAACTAAGAAAATAGGAAACCGTACAAAATTTCCTTCAACATTTCAAATGGAAGCATTTTAAAATCTTTGACTCGGCAAATAAATATTAGAACATTCTATATTTGAATAGTAAAAGACGAAGATTTTCTTGATATATGTGAAAAGTATCCAAAAAACCTATATATTGAAAGTCATTGACCTTGACCTCAATATACACGAAGTTATAGGCTTATTAAAAAATGTGTAATGTGTATAACCGGGCATGCACTTACTCAAGTCATAAGCATGCATTTACGTTTCGTAATAATATTAATGTGTATTTTATTGTGGCAATGTGTGTTTTATAGTATAAGTGTGTCAACATTAGTCCTATCTACAATAAGTTTCTGCTACTAAATGTGAATTTATTACTCAGTTTTCGTGAAAAATACTAGGTTGTTACTTCTAGATAGACTCTTCAGATGATCAGCTCGTCGGCAAGTATTTGATGGTGCCCTTTGACAACGAAGAAAAAACACGAGATCACCATCTCTTGCCTCTGACAGTGTCAGGCGTATCCATTTAGGCCTCAGTATCTTTTTTGGTGATTTTCTTCTCCCTAGGATTGCAGCGCTTCTCCTAAGGGTGGTACTGCAGATATCGAGTTATTCCCATTAACTTACGTGGAAATTAAAATAAATAGTTGATTAATATGAATGTATAATTGTTGATGAATGTGATGAAATTGGATGAACCAAGATATGTATGTAAGGATAGAGGACGTTGGTTCTCGGTTTTCTGCTTACCCCGTAAAAAATGTTCTGAAGATATACACAGATATGAACGTGACATTGTTAAAGAAACGAAATATTTTATAGAAAAAGAAATAATTAGCTCTGTAGGGCCCTTACAAGTGTAAACCTTATGTGTAAAGAGATAAATTTTCACTATTACAACTCGTGTGATGGCGAGTGTCAAGTCCCTAGTTAAGTGTTAAGAGCATTTAGGCTGTCTACGAGTATAATACTCGAAGGCCTCTAACGTGGTTTATTGGTAGTTGTAAACACGAAGGAAATTATAATAATTATAAGGGAGCAATAATTATACCTATAATATGATCTAAATATGAATTTACCTTTATTAAACTACTTTTGTATTTTAAATACACTATCGGGACTTAACGCGATGAAAAATGCAATCTACGTTGAAACGTCGGTAATAAAAAAAAGCATGTATGCAGGTTCTATTTACCTGTAAATATATCAATAACGATAGTGTATTTTAAATAAGTGTCAACAACGCCAAAAGTTTAAAATTAACTACTTTTTTATTACAGAGGATTATGCTTGTAATGTTACAATGAGGGGGCACAAAGAGAAACGCGGGGAAGATGAATACCTTCAATTCGACCCGTTCAGAGTCAAACTGCGCGTTGGTCAATCATCCATCTACCTGACCAATCTGTTTGACGGTGATCCAGTCCTCGGACCCGCCACAAACAGGGTCATCAATGAAAATTCCCAAGTATTCTTACAAGAAATAAGTCCGGTCCTAGAAAGGAGTCTAGGGGAACTCTTTACAGAAATGGCGAATAAAATAACATCAAAATTTACATATAAACAATTGTTTCCTTGATTGATGGTGAGAAATAATTTCTTATCATATATGGTCATAAAATACCTAGTACGTGATTTCTTTGTACATTATTTTGTATTTACTATGGGTATATTTTTGATGATCACTTTGTAAAATGCTTATCTGAAATTTGTTAAATGTGATAGTATTTTTATTGGTTGAGTATTGACTAATGTTTGTTAGTAAAGGTATTAGTATAGATTAAAATTATTAGATATAAGTTAGAAATTGAAAATTATTTTTTATAAGTTAGTATACTTGTGGATGTTATGATATAGTTAATTATTATAAAATATTGTTTCAATTCTAAATATACTTATTGCTTATGTAAATAAAATTTCTGTTCTCTATTTTGGTTCAGATTCAATGTACACCAAATAAAATTTAACCACACTTTTCGAGTTATGTTACAACATATTATTAAAATGAAATATATTGTTGTTTATTCATTTTTAATTTTATAAAGATTTTTATTACCAGTTTATTAGAGCAGGAAGATATTACAAGCATTTAAAATCTGTCAGTTTTACACTATAAATTGAATTGCCCTTCAATTTGGTACTAATATCATAGACAAAAAAGGTCAGTTTGTAGTCACATGAACTAGTAAACCTGTTAGGTTTTTAAATGTTTGTAATATATTCTTAGATTTACTTTCACCGTACACAAAATTACTTTTTACGAATTTTGTATTAGACATAACATTCTTATTAAAAGCTCAATTTTGGAAATAATGTAGCCAAAAACCAATTGTGAGAGAATTGTAAAAAATCTAAATTTAGACCGTAAATGGTCGTCTATATTCAGAAAGGTCTGTTATTTTTTTGTATAATAAAGAATTAATAATAGTTACCTAATGTTAATAGATCTTTCGAAATTGATTTTATTTTCTAATTTTGAATCAAAAAAAGGTTGAAATAAAAATGTAATAATTATGTGTTTTATTTTTAAAACATGTGACAAATATGGTAAGCGGATTATTTCGTAATTAAAAATATAAAAAGATGACGAAAACTTTGAACACATTTTTATTATTAGGTACTCAAATTGACGGTCCACTTGATAGAAAGTTGTTAACATTATTTATAATATTTAGGCATTTATCTATGATTGGGCATAGATAGATGTACTATACAACATATTACGTATGGATAAGAGCTAATTTAGGTACTACTTTACTCCCCAAAGAGGGAGACCTACGTTCAGCAGTGGACAGTTAACGGCTAATATGATGATCATGGTAATGGACATTAAGGATAAGCAAGCAAGCAAGTGGCAATGGTCTGTTCACATAGTTCGAAGGACCTACAACCTGTCGGGAAGAAAAATTCTTGAATGGCGATATCGTACGACCAAACGTAGTGTAGGATGACCCCGCCTAGACGGAGTGACGATCTCAAATGCATTGCAGAAAGTCAGTGGATGCAGGTGGCTCGGAATCGTTCCTTGTGGCAGTCTGTCTGTGGTGTCTATGGGAAAGGTTCAACAGTGGGCAGATAATAGCTGATATGATGATGAACATTATACTCGAACATTATATATACCTACATTGTATATGCAACACCGATTTATTTCTCTGTCAATAATTGACTGGTAGAGAATATATTTATATGTCAAATATAAATTACATATGATGTGTAATAATATTGTGCAATAAAATTGAAGTTACATTTTCTTTCCCTTGAGTCATAATCTTATTATTTCATTTGAAATGTCAAACCTTAAAATCATTTAACTAAATTTCTATTGTAGGTAGTATATTCATTTATTTTAACATCTATTGTATAAATAGGTAGGTATTACATTTATTTATAGTATATGTATTTGTGTAATATTTTATTATATATTTTGATATTTTATTTAAATGTAAATTTGTTTATGTACTCTAAATATTAATAGTTGTAGCACTTCAGCTACCCGCTAACAACATGCTTTTTAACCTAACATGGTTGTTAGTGATGAGGATAACAACCTTATTGCTAGCAACGGGGGGAAAGGGATTGTTAGTAATGGAGACTGAGAATCCCATTGCTAGCAATATACCCAACCAGGTCGACCTCCTCGCGGTTCTCCCTGGAAACTATCGTGGTTAATTCCTGATGAATTCATCATGATGCGCTAACTGGTCTGTGTTCATTCTCATCTATCACCCTTCATTGGTGCTCCGCCAGCGTATCCCGTTAGCGCAGGCGGGGTTACCATACCATTTTCACCCATCAAAAAAAAATGCATTGGGTTGACTGGAAGAGATCTCTGTCAGAGATAAGTCCACCTTTGCTTACAATATTTATAAATGTATTAAGAATGTAATTTACAAGTGCAATAAAGAATATATAATAATAATAAAGTTTAAATAAATAAATATTATACTGTGCAATTCATAGTGGCTCTTACAACACTCTCCTGAGGACTAATAAATAAGGTTAGCCATTTACGTAATTTATTACACTTACTGTCAAATCCTTCTATTTAAAACTACAAGAATAAATAGTTCTTATAAGAATAATAACATGAATTTGCACATTGTTGATACACGATGAAAATTTGTAATATAGTAGTGCCAGTTTACTTATTTCAATATGGGTTTGCGCTTGAAATTGCATTATCCGATGGTAATTAATGATAAAAAAACAAAGATGGAGCATTATTATCCATAAATGTAATCATAATCGCAAATGTGAAAACACAGGAAAATAGTATTCAAGTGAGAGGTAGTAGGATTTAACAGAGGTTTTGAAGCTAGTAAGTAGCAACTTAAATAATATTTAATTTCTGATATTATAATTATTATGTGCTACGAATTAATTTAATGAGATAATAATGATGGGGTTATATTCTCGATCAATAGGATAACTATTGTTCTATCACCACATCCGTTAACTGTCCACTGTTGAACGTAATCTCTTCTATAAGAAGGGTTTTGTCAGAAGTTGCCACGCTTGGCAGACTGGTTGGCAACCGCAGATAGGGTTTAGTTTTAAGAGGGACGCTGCTGCCCATCTTTCGGTCATTAAGTTCTGTTAGTCGCCTCTTACGACGTCCAAGGGAGAAAAGAGATGGCCCGTTCTTTGGCGGGAAATTATTATATTAATTATTGCTCTATGCTATATAATAATAATAATATTCCGTGTATAAAGGCGACATCTATAGAATGTAGAGTTAATTATTTATATGCTATTAAATAGCACAGTGTAAAGAAGTTTGCTATTTCAACATTTGACTGCCTACGTGAGTAACATTGATTATCCAATTAGGTATGTATTTACTGTAAAATATATTATCGTTAATTAATAGTTTTTTATACACACAATAGATGTCGTCTATACAGTTATTTATTTCATCTATGCGTTACAATTTTCTTAATATTTTTAAATAAATTATTTCATATAAGGATGTTATTTCGTTAAGTTACGATTATTTGTGGAAAATATCAGTTATATGAATTAAAACTTTTTTAAATAGCGCTAGGCAGCCCGCCTGTACTATCGGTATATCTACACTGCTGGAGTATCAGTGGGTATAAGTGAGATTAAAGTAAATCAGTTTTTCTTATTATTAATGGGTGATAATGGAATAGTAACTCCGCCTGCGCTATCGGTATACGCTGACGAGACACCAGTAAGCGATGATAGGTGAGGATGAAAAGGCAGGTCAGTGAGTCCATTGTGATGAATTCCACTAGAATTAACCACGATGGTTTCCAGGAGGAATCGCGTGGAGGTCGATCTGACAGGGAGTATTTCTAGCAATGGGTCAGTTAGACTATTACTAATAATCCCTTTCCCCCGAAGTAAATCAGTTAACCCATTATGGTGAATTCAAGTTATATCGTCATAGTCGTAGAATACTGACGGATCTTTATATGTAATATTTGACAGATCCTTCAGTATTCTACGACTATGACGATATTTCCAGAGGCAACTGCTACGAGATCGACTTGATACGATATAACATATTGCTAGCCATGGGGCTGTTAGGTCTAATTAATAACAATTCTGTTGTTCCCAATTTAGAGGATTTATACATTAATCTTGTCACGATTCAATTCGCATTTCGTTTTTTTTTTTAAAGTAGTTCATTTATTTTCAAATTAAAATAACACCAGTCATTGTGAAGTATGGACAAAAAGTAGAGATTGTGCTGACATTTGGTATATTATGGTGGCTTGCTTAGGCAGGACATGATGTAGCTAGTTTAGGGAATTCACAAAAACATTTTTTATATTTTTCTAATCTACGTGTTTTGTTCATGAAAACTCGAGGTTTAACCTTGAAATTTCCATTAGGACTATAAAGAGGAAAACCAAAGAATAAATGGATTGATTGTAATTGGTATTTGTGATTTAACAGATATAAATCACAGAATTGTCAAAATTATCGTCGAACATAGCTACAAAAAATATAATTGAATGAATAGAGAAAATTTTTTTTGTTACTTAAAAAAACAATCCTCCTTTAAGAAACCCTTCCTGGATTTATTCTTGACCTGCGGTTAAAATTTGATAAAAATTATTTTGTCAAATGATCTTGTTTTTGATTCATGAGTTATGTGCAATAGTTCTATACTATTAATTATTTCTTTCAAATTTTGTTTAGCCATTGAATAAAATAATTAAAAATTGTGTCCCATAAAAAACCGATTTCAATCGTGACAAAACCAATTATTTTGATCTAAAAACTAAATTACTGAACCGATTTTCATAAAATTTATATGGGACTAATCTGCAAGTATATCCTTTCAAATAAAATGATGATTTTTAAATCGGTTTAGAACTGACGAAGTTATGAGATAACAGACATGAAAAATACGGCCGAATTGAGAATCTCCTTTTATTTAAGTCGGTTAAAAGTTAAAATATCTAGACTGTCATAAGTTTACTTTAAAAACTTTCAAAATTATATATATATTATTAATAATTTTGTTTTATTAAACAAGGCACGCAGTTATTGATGTACACGTATTATATATACTCGTATTATCATGTCCTTATACTTACTAAT